TCAGAACTCCAACCATGGGCAGAATTGTATGACCTTTGGAATGACTGTGGAGTGCTTGTGTCAGATTTGGGCCTCCTTGGTGGCTTAGATGGAGCAGTAGATGGCATACTAAGATGAATCTGGGCTGGCTATTCTTGATGGGAAACTTTGGCTCCACCTGTGGGTTTTCCGCTTGTCCCTGGGCCCTCTGGGCTAATATTCCCTCCTCTTTGGTATAATAGGGCACCACTGGTCTTATCTGGCTGCTTCCTGCTGAACAGAGGTGACAACTCAGGAGAGGTAGGAACTCAGAAGATGTGGTTGGGAAAAAAGTGTGTGTATGGGCATCTTAGCAGGCAGATTGAAGGGGGCATGGGAAACTTCCACGAGGAGAATTCATTGTGACTCATGGCACCTCCTGTATTAGATATGTTGTTCCTGTTCTATTGGCTGCATGATCCATTGGATGTGGTTATGTTGGCCCATATCCTGGACTCTACCACTATCTCTGTGGCTGTGAAGTGGGACCAAATTCCAGCAGATGGTGAACCCTGGGCATGTACTCAATAACCCCCTTCTGAATCCTCCTGTCTAGTAACTGATTCCCTGATGTAGTCACCTGTTAGAAAATTAGTTTAAACGTTTAAATGGACAGAGAAACATTAAATCAGGATGAAGCAGAGAGGACACATTCCAAGAAGTAGGAAACAGCAGAGGGGTACCTGGAGACTGACTCACACAGGAAAGCAGTGGACACAATTGTGTGGTGTTGCAGTGACTGATACTCCAGTGGCATTCAGCTAACAGTGATCCAAACTCCACCAGCAGCCGGAACTCCACCAGCAACCAGGTGGGAAGAGACTTTCAATGGGAGCCAGACAAAGAACTGTCTGCCCTGCTGGTCAGTTTGATTTGACCAGGAGGAGAGATAGAGCAGCAGATCCCAGACGGTCAGTGCAAGAACAGGGTAAATTTCACAACCCAGTCAGCCCCCTAGAGCCGACTGGGCGCCATTTTGAGTAAGGAGGCAAAGGCAAGGGAAAGGACTGAGCATATGCTTAGCTTGGAGTGAACTCATTTCTGACTCAGTGAACTGCATCAGCATGGCATTCTACAGGTTCCACCCAAGACAGGTCTGGGTAGCCCTCAGATCTGATGGCCAGCAGATCAAGAACTCTAGCAGTGGTGTATCAGGTGCCATTTTGTGCACTGTGGCAAATGCTTTAGGACTGCATGGGACAACAGAGAACTGTGCATGTGCCGAGCTCACGAGAACTCACTGAGTTCCGTGGATTGCACTGGTCCAACATATAATAATACTGACTGTGGCATCGTAAGTCAAAATAGGTCTGTGTGGCAGACAGATCTAACACTCAACAGGTTCTGGCAAGATTAGCACCACCAACAACCTAGATATATAGGATATCTGGTGTCTCTCTAATCCTGGGGCCTACTCCAACCAAAAGTGGGAGAAAGGTTGGAGAGACAATGGTGCAACCTCAGCACGATATCACAGGTGGTGGGGATTTATGAGCCAGGAGTTGGGGCTATGGATTTCTTGCTGGAACTCTAACATAAGAACCCAGACCTGGAGCTCACTGGAGGTTGTGGCACAAGTGGCTGCAAGCAAAAAGTTGTGTACCAATTGCAGTAAGTAAAATTGCTTTGTAGACCTGTGGGTGACAGAGCTTAAAACCTACCCCAAGAAGAAGACTCTGCTAATCAGAGGTACAATGACCAAGAGCAAAAGAAGCAAGAGCAATGAATATTATTGAAAACTCCCCTGCAAAGGAGCAAAATCCTTTGCCAACCTCAGAGTTAATAGAGGAAGACATCGAGAAAGCTAGGCACACAGAATTCATAAAACGCATTGTAAAGCTTCTGATCAACAATGAGAAGCACATACAAGAGTTCAAAGAAGTTAAGGAAGCAGTAAAGCAAATCAAGGCTGATATATCAGAAATTAAGAACACAGTAGAGCAAATTAAAAGTACTATGGAGAGTCTCCAAAGTAGAATGAAGCAAGCAGAAAAAAGAATCTCAGAGTTGGAAGATATTTTCTGTCATCAGGGAAAAGCAAACAAAAAGCTGGAAGCAGAGATGGATCAGGCCAAAAAAGTATTCAAGAATTGAAAGACACTATGAAGAGGCCTAACATAAGAGTTATGGGAGTCCCAGAAGATGCAGAAAGAGAAACTGGTTTTCCAAATATATTTAATGCAATAATAAAGGAAAATTTCCCTAATCTAGAGAAAGAATTGAGAACAACATCCAGCAAGGGTACAGAACTCCCAACAGGCTTGATCAAAAGCGATCTTCGCCACGACACATGATCATCAAGCTCTGTTCAATTGAACATAAGGAAAAGATCCTTAAATGTGCACGTTAAAAAAAATTAGTTGGCATATAAAGGAATGAATGCCACTTAAACTCACGGGAGATCTCTCACAGGAAATTCTACAGGTGAGAAGAGAATGGAGTGACATACTCCAGATTCTAAAAGAAAAAAAAAATGTCAGCCTAGGATAGCATATCCAGCAAAGCTTTCTTTTCACTTCAAAAATGAAATAAAATTCTTCCATAGTAAAGAAACGTTAAAAGAATTTGCCTCTTCCAAACCTGCCCTACAAATGATACTTCAAGTTGTTCTCTTGACAGAGAAGAGGAATAGCACTAAACAAAAACAAAAGCAAATAGGAAGAACATCACAGTAAAATCAGAACAGAAGACTAAATCAATGAACAACCCATTCCTAAAATGACAGGGCCAAAGTACCACCCATACATATTAATTCTGAATGTAAATGGCTTAAGTTCAATCAAACGTCATAGATTAGTAGACTGGATTAAAAAACTCATCTATTTGTTGTGTAGAAGAGACACATTTCACAAACAAAAATCAGCGGAAACTATATCGTATGAGATTTGATGTTTTCAGTTAGTTTAATCTCTTCAAAACACTTTCTTCTGATTAAATCATTCAATGACTCATAGATCATAGAGTAGCATCATTTTCTGCAAGAAGGTTCTTGATTTTCATTTCTTCAGCTAACGTAGTCATTTAGTAGCATGTTATTTAAGTTCTTGGTGTTGTCAATTTCTTTTTTCTCTCTGATGTTTTGTTTGTGGCTCTTCATTTAAGGGGATGCATAGTAGCTGTGTAAAGGAGACTGTCATATCTAGTGACATATTATTTAACTTCATGGCTATGTAAATTTCTATTTTCTTTCTATTGTTGATTTATTATGACTTTTCATTTGAGGGGATGTACAGTAGCTATGAAATGGAGGCTGACATCCAGATTTGAGGATATGATGCAGTATGCATTTCTACTTCTAGATAAAGATGGACTCCTAATGAAACTGTTTACTATATCTTGACAATAGGATTCTGGAGTCTCTGCCATTGTCCATGCCCACAATGATGGACATATGACTGTGTATGAAGAACTACATTTTAGTAATGATACAGAGGCACTATTCAGTGGGGAGGGAGGAAATGGGGGCTGGGATAAGGGAAATACCAGGAGTCTATGGAACTATATCATAAATTAACAACAATAATAATAATAAAATGTAAAAAAATAAATAAAACTATTATATTTTCTGAAGTGATTGTTAATAATTAAATCTAGCTGTTATTTCATTTGGGGGCTTTTTTCTTTATTTTATTTGTATGTTTGGACATAAAATGTATAAAATTGCTATAGTAAAACAAAGCAGTTCAAATCTGTGTGCTACTAGTTTGGTGCAATGATTTGTACATTTTTAAACTAGAAATGTATGCATTGTCTCAAAATAAATTTAACTGAGGGTACTTTATTTGGCAACACTGTTGGTGACACAGTTTCTTCCTCTGTAAAACAGACATAATATCAAGTCAACAAAGATGTTGTCAAAATGTAGAAGCTATAAAGATGTTAAATAAAATGATTTATGAAAAATAGTTTATTATTTTCTTTCATCCCCCTTTTTACCTAGCACATATTTCAGGGAGCTTCAAAGCAAAAGAAGATAGAACAAACAAACAAGCAAAAACCTCACTGGAAACAAAATTGAAAGATATGTTTATTTCTCTGCAAAAATTTTTGGAATGCATGCATAGTCTTACGACAATAAATGTACAATAAACTTTTGAAGTGGTGTCCTCTAATGGAATATGGCTTCACCTATGAGAGGCTTATCATTACAAAAAAAAACCAGCTTGGAGTAAGAACTTCTTTAATGCATTGAACTTTTAGTGTGTTAATCCAGTAATGCTGAGGTTAAGTGGCTGACTTGAAGATAGGGTGTACAGAGCGATGGAGTGGTTTAATTTTGGATTGTGGAGATGGGGACATGTTTCCCACCTTTTTTCCCACTGACATCTCAACTCCTGAAGCAGACAAGTTGGAAGGTAGCCTCTTGTACTTGACTTGATTTCACTTTGGCATCCGTGTCCCACAAGACTCAGCTATTCCTTGTTAAACACCTATTGGATGCTGGGCCTAAAGGTGGCTCGTGTTGATAGCTACATTACCAGTTCCCACCAACATTTCCCCATATGGCTTTTCTTGCATCCTACAGAAAGAGGTAAATTAAGAAAAAACATGGCATGGGAGTTGGGGGTTGGGTAGGAGTCATTGCTGGTGGTGAATACGTACTTGTCTATTATTTGCCTATTCTGGGATAGATAGTGTAAGATTCTCGAGTGTTTTTCGGACAGAGTTTGACCCTGTGTGCAAGGCCTTCTCATGTTTAACCTGATAACTTACCTTCCTTGGATCTGAGGAGCTGAGCTGGTGCTGCACACACTACTGTAAAAGCTGCTCCAGGTACCATACTTTCTGTTCAAGGAGGCACTGAGTGAGGCACTTTCCTTTGGGGGCATTGCATAATAAATTTCTTTATTTATCACATCAGACCCAATTGGGGAAGATCAGAACCACAAACTGAAAGGCATGAGCTCGGCAGCATTCTTATGGTCTCCTTTCAAAGACACGTGTGGTGGCGATGCCTGGGATCTACGCAGCAGGTTAGAGCACTAAGAGAGCATCAGTGGATCTAGTTGTACTTCGTAAACATTGTCTTCCAGGGTTTCCTGCCTCTGGCCCTTGTCAGCAGTTTGTGTGAGGCCTCCTAATTTTGACTGTGTTGGTGATAGCCTACTGGTTTGAGTTGGGCTTGCTTGCTGAGAGGTCGAATAGAAGCAAGTTCTGGGATCCAAACTGTTCCCTGGTGCGTAGGATGGTGGTGCTGTGCTCCTCTTCTCAGAGCTTATTGTGGGGGCAAAACTCAACTCTGTGTTCAACTCTGGTAGCACTGGCATTGTATCTATAATTTCATATTGACAGGACAAAGACACCTCCTCCCTTTCATAAAAGGCCATGCCAAAAGGGATAGCACAAAATACAAGATCCGAGGGGAGCAGCTTAAATTCGTTGGCTGGCCGGGTAATCACAAACCTGTAAGAAAAGCCAGAGAATTGTTAGCTTCTGAAGCTGCAGGGTTGGGTGGCTCCTGGTTCTGTGGCCAACCCAAGAGGCCAAGAGGCCATTTTGCTGGGCTGAAAGATGTGTGTGTGTGTGTGTGTGTGTGTGTGTGTGTGTGTGTGTGTGTTGCCTTGCTTCATTGATTCTTGATAAATAGTAAATCTCTATGGCACCCTGGGATAGGAGAGTCCCTGGAATTGGGATTAGGAGGCTGGCTTTCAACTCTGTCTCTGAATCCAGACACTTTTGGCCTTAGTCATGACTTTCCCCATAATTGGTGGGAGAAGTTAATCTATGGTACTTGCTTTTAAAACACACTCATGAATTTAACTGGCACACTGCTGGGCACTTAGTGATACTTTGTCTAACTGGAATATCACATGTATCCTCTATATTCTGTTCTTGGTTTAAGTGCATGATAACATAATGCATAAGCTGCCAGATTTCACATAGAATAACAGCCTGACTAATAAGAGTTGTGAAAAATGAATGTCAAGAACACTCAGAGACTAGACCTGCATTGGAAGACTGTAGGGAAGCAAGTTGCCTTAACTACTAACCAGGTATAAAGCACATTCTTCATTCATGTGAGATACATTAATCAAAAGCTCAATATTCGTGTCAGAACAGCCTTTCAGGCTCATCTTGCAGGACCTGCAGCCTGTGTTTCTCCCCTCCCATCTACAAGATCACATTAGGGATCCTTCTTTCTTCATGGAATAATCCAGCCACTAGGTCTCTTCCACTCCATCCTCTAGAACCCTATTCTGTCCTAAGCAAAACTCTCAGAAAGCATATACTCCCTAAAACATGGAAATGGCACTTGGGTTCCTGAAGTCTTCTCAGGTGTCAGGGATCTTCCTAAACTCATGGGAGATGGGTATTCAGAGAAAAAGCTGCCTATGGATTTCTGATTTTTTGAGCCAAAAGGGATCTATTTGTTTAAATTACATTTTCCATGAACCTGTTGAAGTACCCTTTTTTAAGCTGAACATTTTCCTAGGATTGTGTTCTATAGACCTCCTAGAGCTGTTGTGGATGGAGGAGAAACTTTAGAGCGGGAGGGAAGGTGGCAGGTAGAAAGAGAATGAAAGAATGAGTGGTGGATGTGGATGTCATTCCTGCTTCCCAGTGCTGCTTTCAAAACATCACTTCTCTTCCAGCCTCCCACTGACTGTCTTCATGAGTTCTGTAGAGCCTCAACACTCTCTCCAGATTCATCAGTGTCATCCATACTCATACAGGTTTATTGAGGTCTTTGAACTCAGAATGAATATTCTTTCAAACTCTAATGCCACTGTCATCTTATGCACCTGTAGTGTCTCTGTGGTTTCTAAGCCCACCATCTGGACCCATCTCTATATCATCTAGCATGCAATGATCTTTTTCTCTAAACCAGTTTCCTGCCCACATTCTGGGTGTCACAATTTACTGGCACTGTATCATCTCAACAATCTTAAGCTTCAATCAATCACTCTGACCACAGTTTCCCATCATCCTTCCTGAGTTATTGCCACACTCAAGAGTTCAACTACCCTTTCATTTCATCAGGATTTCCAATCCTCTCCCTTCACTTTATGGTCTAACGTTACTTCTCAAATCCCCAATAAGCCTCCTCTTCTGCCCCTCTCAGCACTCAGTCTAAGCCTCCATTTTTTTTCTCAATTCTCTGTAATGTTTCTTCCCTCTTCTCTCTGAGCATTGGCTGAGAAATCCTGCTGCTAAATAAAAACTCTCACTAGCATGTTCCTTACACAGAGCCATAGCTGCTTTAACATCTTTGCTTTGCTTCCTTTTCTCTCTTATGAACAGAAACATGTTTTTTTCTTTTCTATTCCAGACCATTTCACTGAGTAATTTGGCTTCCCTCCTTTCTCCAGCAACAGGTTCCATTGCTCCATTTCTATTCCATTAACTTTAACTTACTCTTCTTAGCCTTCTAGATGCTGTCTATCTCCACCATGAGAATCTTAATGAGAACATGCTTGATAATGCTCATTTGAAATGCTTCTTTCCTTCTCGTCCCACCCCCTTTCACCATTTACTCTTAATTTCACATTTTTATCACATTGATCTTAAAGAAAAAAAAATGAACACACCACTACCATGAATCATATGTGCCAGCGCAGTTGCTAGATAAAAAGCATCCTATGATCCAGCCAAGTCCAACAAGCCCAAAAGAATACAAGGGAGTCTTTACAATGCTGACAATGGCTTTTCAGGTTTAGAAACTTGCATGGACACTGATTAAAGTAACTGCAAAAGAATTCTGACTTAAGATTTTCTTCTCTTTTTCTGTTTTCACTGGGAACAGGACTCTACTGTGTTTTGCATTGCAGTTCTTGATGTTTGTAGCCTGTGCCATTATTATTAAATTTGCCTTTCTTGCAACTGTGGACCTCAGGCATTGAAGGAAATTAACCCTGGCTGCTACATTTGGCAAGTTGACACACATTTTCCAAACTAGCATACTCCCCTTTTGTTCTCCGGATTACGCTCCTCATCTTCTATCATGCGGTATAAACCAACACACAGGATTCCAAGATTATCCAATGTGCCACAGAACAGTTGTCCAAAGGTTTCTCTTGGCTAAAGAAAGAAGATAAAAACAAATATCTGCTGGATACTTAAGGCTCGGTAATAACAAGCATCTACTAGCATGCCATTGGCATTTGCGAGAAGTTTGGGAGACAGCAAAACCGTATCTTGTAAAACTTTATGATGATCATATTAATTGGGAATGTAGTTAAGTTTATTATTAGGTTTGAAACTTTAACCTCAGTGGTTAGGCTCATTATTTTCTGGTTCTTGCAAGAATTCCAAGCACATGTGGTGTGACGTGTGGTTGTTTGGTAACTACTAAAAATTAACACATAAAAAAAGGCTTGACAACTAATTTTTTGGGTACATGATAACTTGAGTTGGTAAGCATCCTCAAAGAGTCATGTTATTCCACTCTTACATGTCCTTGCTCAGGTTTTGTCCAACCAAACCACTGAGAACAGATAACAGGTTCAAAAGCAGAAGTTAATGAATCCAGTCAAATGAAAAGACAGTATTTGCTCAGTTCCGGTCTTCCTGAGATAAATAGAAAAGTGAGGATGGGAATCATGTGGGTATAAAGAGGAGGAGTCTGGTCTAATCTCCTATAACCTCTAATACAGTAGGAAGTTGTCAGCAGTAGTTTCCAGGGCATAGGGTCACTCACAAGTCAGCTGTCACTAAGGAACACAGGACCAGAGATAGAAAAAGACTGGATGATTCCAAGGGACTTGTTGGAGACTCTTTGTCCATGCACATATGCATATAACAAAGGATTTGCCATTTGTATTGGTAGCATATGTTGAGATGTACACTGGGAACAGAGGCTTGCAAGAGTGGGCTCCTTGTTAAGCTCTCCAGGTGATATACTACAGAGTAACAGAGTTTATTTCCTTGTAAAGACTTATTCTCAACAAGGAACAGCTTGGATCAGACTCCGGGTCAGATATCAGCAAATGGACCCCTGCTCAGGCACTGGTTGACAATTTAGCTTTAAGCGAGTTCCTGCTTCTCTGGGTTTCAGATTCTTACTTTTTTAAAGCAATCAGTAATACTGCCTGCCCTTTAAATCCTCAGACGATGTGAGAAAAACTATATTGGCACAAGGAAAAGATTTAGTAAATATTAGCATTGAAATTGTAATAAACTTCCTGGTGGGGGCACAAAGTCATTGGATGTCTTATGCTGTTGAATATATGAGATTCAGCCCTATATACATAACAGAGATTTATGTGTCAGAGTTCTGAATGATGGCATGTCCTCCAGGTTCAGGAATCTTGTATCATCCAATAAAGGATGGCAGAAGGGCAAGAAAGCATGGCAGGGTGTATGGTAGGGGTGGGGGGATAGAAATAAAGAACAGTGGAGAGAAAGAGAAAGGGGCCAAAGTCATTCATTAATTTTGGAATTCACTCCAGTGATAACTAATCCACTTTGAAGATTACAGCGTTGATCGGGTCCACAGAACAGAGTCCTCCATGACCCCTGGAAGATCCTACCCTTCAATATTATGAGTTTGGGAATTAAGTTTCCAAAAATGAACTTCAGAGACCTCATTCAAGCCATGTCATTTAGAATTCCTGAGGCTTCCTGACTTACTTAGCTAGAAGGTGGGGATAATAGTGGCTGCTTTATTTGCCCCTTAGGATTGTTACAAATGTGAAGGGTGTTGATTGTAGGACTCTATGAAATAGAGTGAATTGTAAAACAGCCTATGTATTACTGATTACTTTTGTGTTAGAAGCTATCTAACACTTCAGAGAGGTTGGATCACCTTCAGAAACTCAAGAGAAGTGAGGAGATGGGAAACTTCATTGTGATAAGAGTATACTCACTTTAACAGATGACAGAATGTTTTGGTCTAAGGACAGAAGCCCCAGCCTACACCGCAATCTTCCAGAGGAGAAAGTACTGCAGCTGTCAGTCATGTCACAGAATTTCTCCTTATCCAGATGTTGTTCCAGCTGGGAGCTTATCCCTCCTGTCACCAGCATCTGGAGTAATTCCAAGACGTGATAGTTGTAGAAGGCCTAGAAAGTAAGGAGAAGCTGTGATCACATCCCAAGGAGCTGATGTGTGAATGGTGGAGGAGGAAACGCTCGGAGAGTGAGTGGACATCACTGCTTGCAATGAATCTGATGGTGCAGAGCAGTGTTTATCATTCCCATCATCAGAGTCTAATCAAATATGGCAGTTCGGGTGGTATTCTGGATTAGGCAAAGTGAGGAAAACACTGACCTAGTTCCTGGTCTCCTCAAATCCACACTGTACAAGAGGGGTGTGGGTCATTAGGCTGCCACCAAGGATTCTTCCCTTCAAAACATGACCAGAGGGGCCTGGCGCCGTGGTCTATTGGCTAAAGTCCTCGCCTTGAACGCACCAGGATCCCATGTGGGCGCCGGTTCTAGTCCTGGCAGCTCCACTTCCCATCCAGCTCCCTACTTGTGGCCTGGGAAAGCAGTCAAGGATGGCCCAATGCTTTGGGACCCTGCACCCACGTGGGAGACCTGGAATGAAGTTCCTGGTACCTGGGTTCGGATTGGTGCAGCAATGGCGGTTGCGGTCACTTGGGGAATGAATTATCAGACAAAAGATCTTCCTCTCTGTCTCTCCTCCTCCCTGTATATCTGATTTTGTAATAAAAATAAAAAAAATCTTTAAAAAAAAACATGACCAGAGAAGAACTTTGGGCCCAGATGCCCTAATAATCATATATATGCAAACATATATACATATATAACATATTTATGCATCTCTATAAATGTACACATATTTAATGAGATCACCTTTACTACTATTTTCATTCATATTTGAGTGTTCCTGGTGTGAGTCTACATATATATGTAACATGGGTATGGTCCATTTGGGTTCAGGTACTGGCTCAGATATTATTAATGACTGGATTTAGCCCAATTCTTTTTGTATCTTTCAGAAGCGGCTAGGGAAGAAAAAGTACATGAATGGAGTTTTAGAATCAAATAATTTGCATCATAATGAAACCAGAAGGGGGCATGTAGGTCAATTTCTTATTGTGAAACACGTTTCACATTGAATAATCCTCCCCATTTTCACAAATTCCCTTTTCCCAGAATTCAAACCATAATGAATAGACAAGGCATTCATACACATTGCAAATGCCATGGTAGTATACCTATTTCTTCTTCTTTGACTAGTAAATATGTGGTGTTTTAAAAATGTTCACCCTCTGCCATATCTGAATTAGCTGTTTAGTCCAGTTAAAGTGAGAATTTCTCTGTTGTTACTGGTACAGTGTGGCTCATCTTCCCCAAACTCATGTAACTGTCTGAACAAATCCTCAAAACACAGGTAAACAAACAAACAAAGTGCTCCTCAGAGGATGGACTTTGTCTCTTTAACATTCAAACCTTCACAGATGCATCGGATGCACAAATGTTTGGGTGACGTAAAAGTACTGATTGCAATGGTCATTGCTGTGTATGGTGAGCTAAACCTCAAGTTGTGGCACCAGCATCCCATGTGAGTGCAGGTTGGTGGCCTGGCTGCTCTACTTCTATCCATTTCTGTTTACAGTCTGAGAGAGAAGCAAATCATGGCCCAAATTCTTGGACCCCTGCACCCACGTGGGGCACCCAGGAAACTTTCCTGGCCCCTGGCATCAGATTTGTTTAACTCCATCTACTGCAGCCATTTGGGGAGTGAACTATTGGATGAAAGATCTCTGCCTCTTCTTCTCTCTACCTAATTCTGCCTTACAAAGGAAAACAGAATAAATCTTTAAAACAAACAAACAAACAAAAAGAATACTGATTACAGCAGGCAGGTGATTTCCATCAAATGTGCAAATCCTGCTTATAGAGGCAATGGGTACAAGTTCACCTAAGAAATAATATGAGAATATTTTCAACAGTTGAAAAAACATGGAGATAAAGAGAAGTTGATTTTGGTGGATTTTTTAAATCCCTGTGTGTTCATCATTAACTCTTTCATGAAAAACAAAAAGAAAAAGAAAAAGGCTGGGATTTTAAAACTTGGCTGCCAAAAGCAACTCATCTTTCACTCTCAGCATCCACCAACTCTTAAAAATGCTCTTACCCAATTTATGTGAATTCAGAGACAATGAAAAGAACTTTGACACTAGTTTTTAGATGAAGATGCCCAATCCAATGATTAGTCCCACACCTAATGATTAGTCCCACACCTCTGTCCCATCCTGCTATGCTGTTGCTTTGTTCTGCTTCAGAACCACACTGAAAAGCACCTGCCAAGTCAACCGTGACATCCAGGAGAGCTCTGAGGTTGCAAATCCAGGGTTGGGCGACAATCCATTTAAGAAGCATGTGGCCATCACATAGAGTGATCAAGCCTGATACTGTTAGGGTAATTCTCCAATGATTAATGAAAACCCGTAAATTCCAGGGCTATCCTGATGTCAGTGGCTCTAACTCAACATGTGCGTTACATATTTAACTTGGAGGCTTAGCTGTGGAACATGTCATTTCTTCAGCTTTGACATCACAAGCATTGAGAGAATATATTAAGGAGAATAATGGGATTTGTGTGTCACCTTTGTTCTGGGAGCTCCTCTCCTTTTCTGATTATCCTGGCTTCCCTGGCACTGGCCTGTAGGAGCCTCTCTTTTTTTCTCCTTTTCCCTCCTCTCTCTCTCTCTCTCTCTCTCTCTCTCTTTTTTCTTTCTCAAGGATACCTGCAAGTGGAAATGCTCTTGCAATATGTTCAGATTCCTAAACTTGGGCAGTTATTCTATAATGTAATCATGTCTGCTAGAGCTTGGACTTCCAGTATTAAAAAATGCTGCAGCCTTAAGATCAAAAATTTGGGGGGACGGCACTACCCACTCATAGTGAACTGTTCAGCTCAGTGACCTAAGAAACAGCTGTGATGTGGGAGAACTTATCTCCTCATCAGAAAAGGAAAAATACTCCACATGCTCATGATTGTTTTTGAAACTCTTAGTGTACAGCCATCCAGGAGTCCTGTAAGGAGATCTGCCTACTTCATATTTAAATCTTTACAGAATTGAAATACCAGAGGATTAAGAGTGGGTCTAATTGATATAGTGTGTGTACATATTTGCTTTGCGCTGGAGTTTATGATAGACTAGCAGGGCGGTATTTGTTGTCAGCCACTGCTCATTGTATCAGGACATTCAGAGAGAAAGCACATCCAGTTATATTCAACCAAATATCATGGATCTATTGTGCTGATAAAGTTTTAAAAATTATGTAAAAATGTGGGCCTGGGGCAATAGCATAGTGGTTAAAGTCCTTGCCTTGGATGCGCTGGGATCCCATATGGGTGCTGGTTCTAATCCCAGCAGCCCTGCTTCCCATCTAGCTCCCTGCTTGTGGCCTGCGACAGCAGTTGAGGATGACCCAAATCTTTGGGACCCTGCACCTGTGTGGGAGACCCAGAAGAGCTCCTGGCTCCTGGGTTCAGATTGGCTCAACTACAGCCATTATGCTCACTTGGGGAGTGAAGCATCAGATGGAAGATCTTCCTCTCTGTCTCTCCTCTTCTCTGTATATTTGCCTTTCCAATAAAAATAAATAAGTCTTTAAAAATGTATAAAAATGTAACATAAAAACTCAGCATTTCCAAGCAGAACCAAGTTTAAACTCAACCCTGCTATGCCGTGCTACCTCTGGGAGGCACACATTTGTCTCCCATGAAGGGGAGGCAAAGCTGAACAAGCACTGTTTTCTGAGTTCACTGGGGAAGAAAGAGAACCTGGAAATACCATGTCAGGTATAGAGTTCACCAACATGGAAATGAAGGTGGTGCTCATACCTTGATAGGATTGGTCCCTTTCCAGAGGGAGCCTGCTTTGAGCACTGCTGATGCCAGCTTTGCTCCTCCGTGAAAGGAGAGCATAAAGGGAACAGGCCTGTTGAGACTGATATGGCCTCTGCCTCTTCAGCAACCAGCTACATGGCTCCTGTGGTGTCACACTGGGCAGCAGTCACAAGAATGAACCCTAGAGGACGCTCCTTGGGTATGGGATCTTTTTGGGTGAAAGAGACAGGCAAAATGGACTGGAATGACCAGCTCCTGCCTCAACCTACTTTCACAGGACTTCTGCCTGGAGAACGGATGCCTGTCTTAGAACAGAGTTCCAGGATGTTGTCTAGGTTACATCTCTCTCTTGGTGATGTATTTCAACTTAGAGAGAAACTGTCTTGAAAATATTTGCAAAAGAAAATTTTCTTCCAGTACAACCTTTTCCTGGCATATCAGAGAAAAGCAGAGTTGTTCTAACTGCAATGAATGTTATGGGAGCCACATATTTGTGTCTCTTCATCAGCCCTGAGCACTCTTGGTCATGGATTCCTTTAAGCAAGACTTGGAAAGCCCAGCATTGGAAGAAAGTTGGTGACTGAAGATAAATGTCCCCACGAGAGACATGTGGGTGACAATCATATGACTCAGGAATTCCTCACAGGTGAGTATGAAAACCAACGATTGACTTACAAGCAATGTATGACTAATGGCCTAACTGTCAACATCTATATAAGAGGCCGATGATGAGTGTTCTCCTAGCTGAATGGATAGGAGAATTCAGTGAGGCCATGTGTGCTGTGACCTTGGCACAATGTCAGTGCTTGAGCAATGTAATTACTCCTTCTATGGCAGATAGTACTGCTATTGTTGCTGATATAAGCTCAACTTATTATCTAAACTTTTTTGGAGAAAGTTTCATGAAGGTCTGTATCTGGGAAAGAATCAAGCATAAATTAGTGCTGGAGAAGAGGACCACTGCGCTCCCCAGTGATGAATGGCCTGTGCCAGCAATGAGACAAAACTTCTTGGGGAGATGGAGGTCTTTGCCTACCTCCCAGCTTCCAGCAATGTTGAGCATGCATGGCGAAGCAACCCGAGCATTTATGAACATATCCCAGAGCCACTCAGCCACTCTAGTTGTTTTATTAGGAAACAATCAGTATTCTCTTCTTGCTTGGGGTTGTTTCTAAATGATAAGACTGAGTGGGTGGAGGGGAAATTAGTCAAGATCAAATGATAGTCAGAAGAGTAATAATTGGAGACTTGGGCCTGCTCTTGTGTTCTTTCTTTCCATGTGGATGATATGGTAGGAAGGTCCATTCTTAAAAGGTCAAATAGAGGTGTTGGCACCATGTATACCAGGCTAAGCTCCTGCAAATGGAAGCCAGTTAATGCCCTGGGTTGCTTCGCTTCCAATCCAGCTCCCTGATTTTGGGCTAGGAAATCAGTGCAGGACAGCTCAAGTCCTCAGTCCTCTGCACCCACATGGGGAACCTGGAGGATTATCCTGGCTTCCAATTAGCTCAGCTCCAACCATTATGGCCATCTGGGGAGTGAACCAGCAGATGGAAGACCTCTGGCTTTCCTTCTCTCTTTCTCTAGAAAAAGTTAAATAAATCTTTCTAAAAACAATAGAAAGCACAAATAAATCCAGTAGAATATGCCTATAGCAAAAGGAACAGAATTAGGCAGAGCATTTACAGACTGTCAACAATGGTTGCTTCCATTCTTTGTTGCAGCAGCGTTAATGTGAATTCATTTTGCAGCATGATCCTTCACTTATGCTTGAGTAGCTAGAACAGAAGTCCAATGGCCTAGTGAGAGATTTAAAGGTCCTATTAGTGTCCTTAACAGGGATGCTGCCTTGTCCCTTGGGGGTTGCCATCCCCAAACTCTGCTTCAATTGACCAAGTGCCAGTGCTAACTCAGGCCCCCTACTAGGGTTTACTCAGCGCAAGCTGTTGATTCAATGTGAGGTATACCCACATATAACAACCTCTATGTCAGTCCACACTATGTGGTTGCTTTTCTGTCTTGCACATGTCGCCACAAGGCCTCAAATTGCAAAGACTTTATATGATTCATTTTGTTTTCCAGCTTAAACAAAACAAAACCTTTCACTGGGCAGACTGGGGAAGATGCAGCCCTGCTCGAACTGCCCGAGCCAGCAGAACCCTGAGTTGATGGGCAGGCTGAGGACAAAACAGCCATTCTCAGACCACCCTAACCAGTAGAGGGATGGGGAGCCTTGGGCCCAGTGCTGTAACCTCCTGCCGTAAGAGCAATGCTCTTTAGTCTAGGTGTTGTTTTATGGGCTGTTGTGTGGAGTGTGCTCATTTGTTTTCATTTCCATTCTTTCAGCAGGTATCTGTCCTTCCTGCCTGATTTGCTTCAGTATGTTCCCCTTTTAAGTTAGTGTCAAAAACCTTTCCCCCAATGCCATGGTGTTGGGAGATGGGAAGCAGAGCCATCTTCAGCAGACGAATGTCCTTATGCTGGGAGAGTACAAGTTTTCTTGGAGTGGGTGTCTGAGTAAAAGGTTGAGTTTGATATCGAGGCCCTCCCCTCTTTGTCTCTCTTACTCCCCCCCCCCACCTTTTTGCCTTCTTCCATGTTATGACCCAACACCAAGCCCTTAAATATCATGCCAAGTAGACATGGTGCCATGCGTTTGGACATCCCAGCTTCCAGGATGAGGAGGAAGGGATGCACGCAATCTCCTATTGTTTTATCAATTTCCCAGTCTCAGCTACAGCAACACTGCACAGACTGAAATGCTGCCCTTCTGCCCAACTCCAAATGAAATCTGTGACTTTGCTCTTGCCAGTGTGGGCAGGTCTGATTTAATTAAGTCTTCAGCTTAATTTAAGGCATGAATCTGTCTGCCACTGAACAATCTAAAGAGAGCTGGGACCTTAAAACCATCTCATGCCAACAAGTTAAGATCACCTCAAGTCACCTGACACAGCAGTCGTTAATTCCAGGCAAGCTAACTGACATATCAGGAACAGAAAATAGGATGGTGCAACGGGCTTTCTGTCAGAGCCACCTCCCCACCAAAGTCACCAAACCCTCTTCTCTCCAGCAGATCCCTTTCTCCTGCAGTCTAGGTTGAGTCTTGTTTAACCCTTTAATAACTCTGAAGTAACTCTGGTAACCGGCTTGGTTAGTGCTAACTATACCTGAAGTACAGGATTCTGCATCTGAGAGCTCAGTGAGATCCATGATACCTCCAGCACAGCTGGGATGCATAGCACTCCTAACGAGTACCAGATGGCATTGATGTCCAAGGGATATTTGTATGCACCAGCTGTGTTCCTCTCACTTGTGTATGCTGTGCTCAAGGCGTGCCTTCAGCTTAAGAACAATGTTGTTTCTATATGGGGTTTCCAAACAACAATGAACTCATCGTCTTATGCTCGGTCCTTCGCAAACCTGAACACCTGTATATTGATGCTCAGCCATTTTGCAACCCTTTCCACAAATCTGAGTAGGAGGAGAAAAGAGGATGTTCGTTTATAGGAGTTAAATGCAGTCATCCACAAATGGTTATATGTGTGTTATCTTGGGGTAGTCAAATCCAAAATCTTTGAATATCCTTGGCTTGCTGCCACCTCATTGCTTCTGCCTGGGGTATGTCTTGTGTGAGAGGTCTGCATGACCTGTATCAGGTCTTCTGATTTAGAGCTTCATTCACAGGTAGCCTCTCCTGGCCATGTATTATAACCTACACCCTTTTGCCCCATCCCTACGACTCCCAACTAACATTTCCTTAGACCTGTGACTGCTTGTTACTTAGGATGTTCTTGCCAAACTCCTCCACTTGGTGCAAACTCTACATGGTGGAGATGTCTTCTTGTTTTATCACTACTCTAGACATCACACATTGTGCAGTGTAAAATTTCACTAGGCATTTGTAGGATGATGAGTTATGTCTGCTTATGGAAATCTTATCATGGATGAAGGTGTGTGTTTATTGCCTGAAGAAATGCTGAGAACAACTACGATGTTAAAGAAAAAATACATATGCCCGTTATATATTTGAATTAACTCTGAACCCCAGGATTTCATGATGGCCAGTTTCAGTAGGTGTTGCCAGGGTGACGCTAGGCAGAGCAGAGAGAATATCATCCAGGCTGCAATACCAAAGGCCTGGTTGTTGATCCACAGTTGAAGTGGAAGGATCAGAATTCCTTCCTCCTGGTTTTGGCTACTCTGGCTTCATGGGCATCAATTTTTTCGTGTCAAGAATGTGAACTTTTTTTTTAAATCTTTCCTTGCAGTCATGCATGGAGATGAGATGATGTACATGGATAAGATTCAGCTTTGAAGATCAGAGAGGACTTGGAATGGTGAAGTATTGTCGTCTGCCCAGCTCTAACTTACCCAGTCACCCCTCGGCCTGGGACCCCTTTTGGACCCGACTACACTTACCGTGGCCAGGAGGGAGTCCAGGAAGTTGCCAGAAAAGACGGTTCCCGCGGAAAAGGAAGTGCTAAGGAGCAGGTTGTTTTCTTTCAGGTTCCCCTCCAGCCCACCAAGTTGTTCGATAAAGTGGATGTTGGAAGGATTTTCTGCAAGGCAGATGGCAAAGAAGACACACATATTGAGAGGTTTAAAAATACAAGGACATCCACAAAACACAGGCTGATGTGGCCCCCTGGTCCAGGGACAGAGCCTCTTTGGGGTCTCTGTGGGATTGGCCCCCACTTGATGTCTCTGTGTGATTGACCCCCCACTTGGAGGCATTTTTTTCTTTTTATGCATTTTCCTCCCTTGAAATCATGCCTGCCCCACCTCCCGGCATCCGTCTGTCCTCTTAGGGACAGTTTGCCACAGCAGGTCCAAGTTGCTGCAGATCAATATTCTGGGTGCCCCATTGCTGTGAGGACGCTTTCAACATTTTGTGTGAAAATTGAATAAAATGGTAGTGATTTTGGTGCAGAACATTTGAAAATCAGGCACATTGCTTTTTTCAGAGTATACATTTTCCTTGACCATTTGATAGATCCCTTGTGTTGCTTGTCTTTCCAAACAAAGCAATTTGGGGACCAAAGGGAACATTGAGTAACTGTACTGGGGCAAAAGGCACAATAGAGGAACCTATGGTCATCCCAGCTGTAATCTTCTCACAATACAATGTCACAGATTTCCACATGTCTGCTGGGATTCCTAGAATTACTTGAGTCCAGATTGAACTGGAGCAGTACTTTGAACCACCTGGTGATCTTGTGACAATGCAAACTCTTAACTCATTCCATTTAGGGTGGGGTCTGGAAGTCCACATATCTAGCCAGCCCCCAGAAGCTATTGATGCTCCTGATTCATGCTCTATATAGAGTAGCAAGGGTTTACAGAATCATTCTAATTGAGGCTAGTGCAATGACAGCTAAATTGTTCATTTCTTTTTTTCTATCTGTCTCCAGCCTGCAACTATTACTCCATACATGGTCTCTGCCATGAATAATACTGATCATTGTTAAAAGTGAGATTGGATGCATTGGCTGCTGCCTTCCTGAACTATTGCTTCAAAAATATTTGTCCAGGGAGAGAACAGCAGATGGAAAAGCATGCTTACTCTCCATCATATAAGATTGTGATTCCCTAAACTCAGGTTCTTTTTCTATAGACTCTTGATACGGTTGTGTCTTTGCTCTCATTCATGTCTCCCTTTGGGAAGTAAGATTTGAGCAATAAGCACCAAAATGGTGATCCTCTAGCTACTCTTACTCTTGTAAAGAATATAAGATGCAAGTTTTGCTTTGTTTTGCGTTCTGGCTAGCATCCACGAGACCTGTGGTTAACTTCTTGGTTTGTTAGCAGAATGAAGATGTCAGCAGTTCACAGATCTGGCCATTGAAGTTCTTGATAATACAGATCAAAACAAACCCACTGGACATAAAGGTCAGAATACATTCTTCAATTAGAGTTGTTTATTCCTTAATCCCCTAAAGTGTTAATAAATTGGGGGGAAGTGAAACAATCTTTTTTTACCCCAAGTACAATAGTATTTTTGATAAAACATGAACAAGAGGGGACTAATCCCACCCCACCCCTCCGTATACTCAGACTTTCTTATCCTTGTGTCACCAGGATAAGAAACATGCATGGAGCTTTGTCCAAATATTGCTGTGTCATCTTATACCCATGGCCTCAACTTTTCTAGCCATGTTCCTGTAGACCTTGGTATGTTCTCTACCAAAATGCTGGCAGTCAGCCCTACAGTTGTCATATCTGTATGGCCCTTTTCAGCCATCCAAAGAACAAGTACTTGGGCTAAGTGACAGGTGAATTGTTAGGTGCAGCTATTCTTTGATTGAACTGAGATTAGAAGTCCCAAGAGAGTGAGTGGGTGTTCCTCAGGGCCAGCAAGGCAGTTAACTGATTTTCTTACAACCACTCTAATAGACAGTCTGTTTTTACTTAATGTACTTAGTATGTATATATACCTCAGAAGATAGAGATGGCCCCAAATGGAAGAAAAAATAGAAGTAATTACCAATAGGCTGACAGGTTCGGGTCATAATCCAGGAGTTTCAGATGCTCGAAGATGAATCTTAGGAATGTCTGCTCCAGAATGAGAGCGATGAGGCTAGGGTCCCACCTACTACAATGTCACCTCAAGCTCACGTGGCACTGGGACCTTCTGATTCCTCTCCAACTGCCCCTGATTTGTTTCTAAGACCAAGAGATCTGTTCGTCTATTGTTACATGGCTCCAACTCAGCTAAATCTCTGTCAGGCATTTCACTATATTACAATTCCCTGGACCAGCTTTAGAGATTGACTTTGGGTTGGCTTAATCTGTGTGGGTTGAGGGGGGGCAAGGTAATGTTCTGTAATTCTACAGTATCTTTCCCCTTCTCTTCAATGACTTACTGTGAGTAGTGAATTCTAATGGGTCTCCTAAAGACCCCTCAATGCATATTGGGTAACTTTCCTTGTATTCCCCTGCATAGCTTCCTGGCCCCAGAATTGCTGCCATCAAAGGAAGTCGAATGTTAGTAAGGGGTTGGCATAAGACAACAGCTTATTCTGTCATTGCTCACAAGAGTGTTTCCATTTTAGAGGAGCACCACTCAAAGCTGGGATTGAAATGATGCAATGAGATACCCGGGACACAAAATTTAAAAGCTTCCCAGGTGAGTGCCTCCTCAAAATCAGCGTTGGAAGATTCACATTCTTCCTAGACTTGACTGAAAGTCCCAGGATGGGTAGAAAAGTCAGTCCAGGGAAATTCTGTCAGTCTTCAGATTCATATCCTCTCCTGTTGCCTAAAACTGAGCCAGTTGTTGGTCTTCCTTCAACTCCTGGTAACTAGAAAGTAGCAAATGAAGATCTCATCTCTAACCCCAGACCTCAGAGGTGGCAGGCTTGGCCCACTTGTCAGGAACGGGTCTAGTGTAACATCCAGCAGACATTTCCAGCTCTCTGGGCTCCATTCTTGTTCCTCTGTCCTTTGACTACATGCTACAAAGAACCTTGGGACATCAGTATGCTTCAGAAGGATTTCTCCCTGCAATTTTGCTCTTGAAACATCACTTACTCAGTTCAGTGATAATGGGGATTCTTCGGTATTTTGGTCTCATCAAATCTTCATTATAGATAGTTGATCTTCTATCTATAGGCAATACAGAAAAGTCAAGGAGAAAAAACAAGATGATAAATGCCAGGAAATTAGCTTGCAGAACCTGACAAGGACATTAAAAAAAAAAACATGTTAACTTGTTGCTTTATTTTAGCACAGTCCTCTCATTTCCAAATCAAAATATATACATTATGATCACTCCTCAGTCCTTTTTGGAGAATGTTGACAAGATGTTCAAGCTCCCAAAATTCAATGATGTACAAGTCCCTAATATATATTCTTCTTATATGGCTTAATTTTCTAGATTTCTTATAAAGCCTAATACAATGGAAATAGTGTATTGTTAAGGAAACAATGAGAAGAAAAAAACATTCTGTGTGTGTTCAGTGCCGCACACCTGAGTATTTTTCCAAGTATTGTTGGTATAGTTGGTTGTGTGATTGTAGAACCTGTTGATACGGAAGGCTGGTGGTTATCTGAATTTCCTGAGCATCTCCTTTAGAGAAGTGGTGAGAGAAGGATCAGAGTGTGGTGTGTGCAAACACATGTTGGCCAAACTGCTCTTTCAATGAATGACAGCAGTGGCTGAGCCCTCTCTCAAGAGCTGCTTGCTGACATCATACCTAAGATGTGATTCTTCCCTTAGCAGCAGTAGCACTGAGTGACCACTCAGTCCAGCAGGACCCCCCCTCCCCACCCCTACTATGTCAATCTGTTTCCAGAATGCTTAGGAAATGGATTTAATCAGCAGCAGCATTCTGGAAGTACTCATGAGCCACTGCTTCCACTTCCTGCTATCACCTGTCTGAGTCTTGTGGATCCTCTCTGGCCTGCAGGGTTACTTATGGCTTTGTTTACCTCTGGAGAAGAGGCTGCTTGCTGCTCTCATAAAATGACACTGACTGTGAGCACTTGAGGAGGCTGGTGCGACTCAGTTATACATGCCTTTTTCCCTGCTTCGGATGTGATATAGTCACCCAGGCAAGGGATGAAGCATCACACATGGTTTTGTCATGCAGCTACCTGCTTGAAGAATAAGCCTGATACCAGAAATTTGCTGTTACACGAAAACTGTAGCGAGCAGAGAGATATTGCAAGCTAGGCTGCACTTAAGCACACGTTCTCTCGGTGGGAGTTATGCTTTCAACTATTAATAACTGTCCTGGAACTTCTGTGAGAGTGCTGTGTAACAGGCTGAAAATACCAGGAAAGTTCAAAATGTGTTATCAATTAAGACTCTGTTGCTTTGGAAGAAAAGGAAATACTTGGAGAGTCCTTCGCTAATTTAGGTCATTGGAAGAGGAAGGCAGAATAGGAGAAGTAGTAAATGGAGGTGAGTGACATAGGAAAGCCATACAGGTACAGACAAAAGTGAAAATGATGAGGCATTCAGGCAAGAAAGTAGAGATGGGCAAGAGGAAATCCAAAGGGAGATGTAATTTTTTACAGAAGGAGTGCTGTGTGTTGCAATATTTAACACCCCTTCATCTCTCCAAGAAATGAAAAAGTACTTCAAAAAGTTCATGGACAATGTGCATTTTGAAAAAAAAAGAAAACATTGTATGGATTTCAAGCTGTTTTTGCACCACAACAAATTTATCTCAATTCCACTTTCACATGAGATTTTTAAAGTACTCTGTGTTAATCAAAAGAACCACATGTTAGTGCAGAACAGAGCTGAATATATTTCTAATGTCCACGAAAAATTTTGAGTCATTTAACTACGCTAAGCCCCGAAGCTCCATGTGAAGAGTCCAGGCATTTGGTTCATGACAGAGCCAGCAGTTGTCCCTTATGTTTGACTAAAAACCTTCAAGATTGAGTAGACTAACACAGCTATTTAATAAGGAATAATAACTTGGTGCCAAGATAAGCAGTTCATCAGGAAATCTTACTCGTGATGGGACATGAATAACATGGGCTATTTTTCCTTTTAAAATGTGAATTTTATAGAACTTGATACCTATAACTATGCCAGATGCTCTCTCCACTTATGTTCTCAAACTTCACCCTTTCCTGTCTCCCATTCTCCTTCTCCCCCTACTTTCCTACCTCTTTCCCTTCCTTTGTCCTGAGCACAAACATCTAAAAGGCACCTGTTCCACACTAGGGTTGTGGACAGTTCCTGCTGAATCTATTTGTCATATGTTGCTATAAGCATCAAAAAAGTCTGAATTTTAAGGCAGGAATAGGGAATATTTGATACATGGTGAATATATGTTGACAGAGAGGTAAATATTTTTGAAAGATCCCTCTGATATTATCAGTAGTAGACACTGCAGGGGATAAGACGTGTGTATCTGTGACATAACCTCCATGACTGCAGTGTAGCTACACCATCTTTGAAGGTGAGGAAGTCAGAACTCCAATTCAAGTTTGGCATAACTTTTCCAGAATCATGTGGCTTGTCACGGATGAATGGGGTTTCATATCCTGACTAGTGCCAAACTCAAAGTGCATGCCTTTTCCATGGTATCTCTTTTAAAGTCCCTTTAAAATATAAGGAGATACTTCAACAGGTTTATGGATATTGGAATTAATGGTATATTTATATTAGTGTAAAATTAAACATATACATACACATGTGGGTCTTCAAAACGTTCATGAGGATGAGTATATTGAAAAAAAAACCTGCATACATTTAAAAGTCTTTCTGTGGGAAAAAGAATTTTATTAAAATCAATTTTATTTGAAAAGTAGTTCACTTTCCAAAAATCCATCCCAGCCCTGATTGGGCCTGATGAAGCAGGGGAGTGAGAAATCAGTCTAGGTTTCTTATGTAGAAGATGGTGAGCCAAGGCCCAGCAGCGTGGCCTAGCAGCTAAACTCCTTCCCTTGAACGTGCCCGGGATCCCATATGGGCTCCGGTCCTAATCCCAGCAGCTCCACTTGCCATCTACCTTCCTGCTTGTGCCCTGGGAAAACAGTCGAGGACGGCCCAATGCTTTGAGACCCTGCACCATGTGGGATACCCGAAAGAAGTTCCTGGATCCTGGCTTCGGATCAGCCTAGCATCAGCCATTGCGCTCACTTGGGGAGTGAATCATCGGACAGAAGATCTTTTTCTCTGTCTCTCCTCCTCTCTGTATATCTGACTTTCCAATAAATAAATTCTTAAAAAAAAAAAAAAAAGAAGATGGTGATCCAGTTACATGAGGCATTTCCTGCTTCCTCTCAAACATGCACTGGCAGGAGGCCAGAACTGGGAGTGCAGCTGGAACTCACACTTTGGCACCGAATCATGGGAGGTGGGCATCTCAACGAGCAGTTTGACACCTGCTACAAGGTTTGAATGGCATTTTCAGAAAAGCCTGAGATCATCTCTCCTCAGTGAGCAAACCCCTGTCTGGAGAAACTCTCCTTTGAACCTCATTTTCCGGTTTCAGTCCCCTGTCAGTGAACAGCTTTGAAAATCCAGCTTTCAGGGCCCGGCACCATATATTAGTGGTTAAAGTCCTTGCCTTGAACAAATTGGGATCCCATATGGATGCTGGTTCTAACCCAGCAGCTCTGCTTCCCATCCAGCTCCCTGCTTGTGGCCTGGGAAAGCAGTCAAGGACGGCCCAAAGCCTTGGGATCCTGCACCCGCGTGGGAGATAGGGAGGAAGCTCCTGGCTGCTGGCTTCGGATTGGCTAGCTCCAGCTGTTGCGGCCACTTGGGGAATGAATTTCCAGGAAGAAGATTTTCCTCTCTGTATATCTGCCTTTCCAAAATAAATGAATATTAAATCTTTAAAAATAAAAGAAAATCCAGGTTTCAGAATCCAGCGTTTTGATTGAATACAGATACACCCACCTTCACTGAAGGGGCTGCACAAATATTTATTTGGGTTATTCCATTGAAGGATCGTAACTGGATTTCTGTCTGTTGCTCTATTCTCTTGTAGAGCAATGGTTAATTTAAGCATGTGTCCAATCATAGCCCCAGTACATTTTACTAATGTCAATATTTTTGCTACCTAATAGCGCATGATATACCTGGAATCTTCCAGCCTTGCAGGGCGCTACTCCAAAAGCTTGCTTAATGATAGATTCCTACTATACATTTCAATTTCAGTAACACATTAAGTTGTCAGACTTAATTACCATTATATATGTACAGATTATGCCACGGATTATTCAGTTTTGTATCGAGGTTTGCCAACCTGTTCTCTGGGTGACATGACAGGGCAGTAATGAGAGCACTAGTGGAAAACCTGATGTTTTCCGGGGAGACATCCAGGAGGCCTGATGTTCTTACTGATCCTCTGGATTCTGCTATCCCTCAATCCTTAAGCTCCCCTGGCAAATCTGTGTGGAAGTCTTGGCAGCTCGGGCTTGGCTTTGTAAGTTTTTAATGGTTGTGAAGATGTGGGAAAAGCCCACTGATCTTAGAGTTGTCACCAGATATCCAATGGCAAAGTCTCTGACACTGTTGACATGCCTTTCCTTTTTGAGAGAAAGGGTTTGCTGCTCTTATCCATGGATTCACTTCCTAGAAGCCTACAATAGCCAGGGTTGGCATGGGAATTCAATTCATTCCTCCAATGGAGGGAAGAGGGATCCAATTATACTTGAGTAATGCAGTTTGCATTGGTGTGAAGCTAGCAATGGCAGCAGGAGCCAGGGATGAAGCCTGGAGAGTACAAAGTGGAGTACTGGATTCTTACTCACTAAACTGAACACCACATCCCACTTTTGTACCATGTGGAGTTGTCTTTGGCAGTATAAGAGGTTTATCAGCATCTCAGACGTCTCCCTGCTAGATAAGCTATCAATTCTTCAATTGTGATAGCCAAAAGAATGATCAAAAGACATTAGGTGACAAAATCGCACCTGCATGAGAACCACAGAGCTACAGAAAGGGAATGAAAACTGTGCATCAACCAGCATCTTCTGAAGCACACTATCAAAGATGTTTTCTACCTTCTGGGAGAATCCCACCTGTTATACTTCAAATTCTTGAAAGTGTTCACATTTCTATCCTGAAGCTGGGATAGAAGAGGAATATAGACATGAAACAGGAAGAAGGGCAAGGGGGCCAGACACGTTTCTCTAGAGAATGAGATTGTGTGCTAACAAACTCTAGCTAGATTCCTTCATCAGCAATTGTAACTGGAAAAATGCATGTGCTTTTCATGTCTCCTTGAAATAGGCTCACAGTCTGGCCGTGGCTTTATATTAGGTAAACAGACTTGATGATTTTTGCTAGATGGGTCATTGAAGCCTCTACAGACCTGTATTATTTCTACACAGAAAGGAAAATCCCCACCTCAAGGAAGTGTCACAAAGCCTGCCTATGCTGTACAATGCTCCTTCATCTGTTCTTTTCATCTTTGGGAAAAGCACCTCTTCAGACTGTACTACCACTCAAATACTACAACATCACATTCCTTTCTGTTCGCAATCCTCTCCTCACGCCACCATCCCCACCATCACATCTCTTCTTCAACCAAGCCCATCATTTATTCTTGCATCTTCTGGCCTGTGCCGGAGTACCTGACACGGATTACAAAAGCAGTCTGTATCTGTTAGAGGAAGGCATGTTAAAAATTGCTAGGTATAAAGGAAACCAGAGTTAGAATCATGGGTTTATGTCTTTCTAGCTGATATAGGAGGTGAGGTTTCAAAACGAATCATAGTGGGAAGCCCTCTACTCACACTCATCATTAACTAAATGGTTTACAGTGTTGTCAGTTCATCCTGGACTTTTGTGTGCAAATTTTCATGTGTACATGGATAATTTTTTTCCCTTACAGTAGATACTTCTTCTTTGTCCCATTATGGAGAGTCACAACATGCATAAGCGTTTGCTTGTAAATTATGTACAAATATGAACAGTGACCCAAGTAGCTGAACTAAGGCTTCGTGTGGCAGAATGCAACAGCATGTTTTGGGAGCCTCTGATGTTTTTTGTTTTTGTTTTGTTTGTTGTTTGTTTGTTTTAGTTTGGTTTTGTGCAGCACTTTGTCAGCCACAAAGAGCTGCTTTGCAAAGGCTATGACACCCTGAGACCCTGGATACTGAGTCAGGTTTGATTGCCTGGTGAGGGTGTGCCTAATCTTGTAGCAGTTTTTGTTCAACAACTGTAGTCCCATGCTTTCGTGGAATCAAAATTTATAACTTATATATCTGTAAGATCCAATGAGAACTGATTTATAATGAACACAACAATTGCTCTGCTCACCGATATTCAAATAACAACAGAAATAATAATTGTTACAACTCTGTGAACTTTCTTTCTAACGTAGGAAAACAATACTGCATATAACTCCTTACGGTTTTGCCTCTTAGTACTAAATTATAGGGCGATGTAGTATTACAATCCTGCTACAGAATTGCAAGAGGTGGGCAGGGTCTTAAAGGAAATCCTTTTCAGGGAAAAGATCTTGATTGTTCAACCTCTTTCTCCCCTGTGTTTCAAGCTCATTAGAGACAAGTTTTCCTCCTTGCCTATTCCATGTTTTCTAGCATCTTCCTGCCACAAGTGCTGCTCTGACCTGTCGTGGTGTGGGCACTGGTGCTGACGCGCAGGGATCCGATGTTCAAGGTAGCCATGATTGCCTCTGTGTCTACCTGAATCTTGCTGCTGGACGGCCTGGAGGGGGGTGATAAGATGGCACACATGGAGCAGTACTCTATGTTGGCCACACGCAGGTCTGCAGGGTAGAGTGCCGATCCCTAAGGAGAGAGAGATGGTTGTAGGGACAAGTTTGTCAGGTGGTGGACTTTGTTTCCCGGCTCAGGGGACTGATGGGTGGCTTGATGCAAAGCCCTTCAGCCTTCACTGGTTTGATTTTTGTAACTTATTTAGCTGCTATCTGACACAGTTTTCCCTATCATTTGTTAGCAGCTGTGTGTAAGTTTCTCAGAGTCAATGTGTATCTATCCACTTGTCCATCTAGATAGATTTCTAGAAGTTTCAGAACAGTTTCTGGTACTCAACATGTATGACACAAAGGCAAGTTATTATTACTATTATCATATCAATGCTAGTACTATTGTATTATGTATTATATTATTACAAACATTCACAATTATGTGTGGTACACTTACAGGCATAACATAAATCTGTGGGAAATTCCGAAGAAACCGCCATTCTTTCTGCATATAATCCAGAGACCCGATGAACACAATGTCCTTCAGCTCCCGCCGAGTGTAGTTGCTTGCTCTCAAGGGCATTACAAAGTTCCGAAGACCCATCAGTGTGGAGTGATTGTCCCCAAAGACACATGCGACGATGTGGTTCCGAAACTTGAGTTTTGATTTACCTGAGCGTTTCTAAGCAGAAGCATGTTAGAATGTGATCACTTTCAGTGTTTACCCTTGAAATCTGTTCCATCACATATCATATTCTCTCTTTCCACCTCTGCCTCCCTTTCTTCCTCACTTCTTTCTTTTTCCTTCTCTCTCCCTTCCTTCCTTCCTTCTCTTTCTTATTTACTTAAAAGTAATTGAATACTGGCAGCTTCACATGATTCAAATTGATACACTAAACTGATTAAACAGATCCAATTGAGGAAATTCATTTTGCAAAGTACACAAAAAAATGTCATGGCTATGAGAATTCTATTTCATCCTAAACATTTGAATATGCCTTATGTGAAACATTGCATATTAATACATGCCCCCTGTACTTTTAAGCTGAAAACAATACATTTAAATTAGGTGTCTCCCAAATACTTCTGTAGGGGACTTATGGCAAACCTATGTCTGGTTTCCTTCAGTGATTGGACCACTCACCTCAGGATGTAATAAAAGAGAGCACCCAACTTGGAGGGGGTGGAATTTCATCTTGTATTCTTAAACTACCCTTCCCTTACGACTGAACAAAATGCCTAACCTTTCTTATCACCAAGTAGTTATTTTTAAATGGTAAAACACCCCTCCCATCGGTGAAAATGAACTCATAAGCTGAAAACATTGTATAGGCCACTCTTCACATTTTGGGTATGTACATTGACAGATTGAACGAACACAAGATTATAAACCAAAGAAAACTAAAATGGGTCTGTTCTCAACACATACGGACTTCTTTTTCCTTGTCATTATTCCCTAATACAGTTAATACCTATTTCCATGGAGCTTACATTGTAGTATTTATAAGTGATTTATAAGTAATGGGTATTTATAAGTAATCTAGAAATGATACTAAGTATCCAAGCTTGTGTGAGTTAGTTACTACTGTGCCATTTTATTTAGGGAACTTGTGCTGCTGTGTGTTTTAGCATACCCTGGAAATTTTGAGACATACCACCACAAAAATCAAAGGAATACCATGCTCAACACATGAATTAACTTAATTCAGTGTAAATCTCACTGAATTTCTAGCTCTTCAAAGGACCTGGAAGCTTACACAGGAGAAATGAAATGGATTTAAATTTCATGTAAGGGCATCTTATGCCTTTCCAGGTACATAAAATTTTAGAATATTTCCCATGGATCTATGATGTTTCCCTTGTTGATCCCCAAGTAGGTTTTCCTGATTGCAATTGTCAACATCTTTCAGGATAAGTAAGTAACGTGTGACATTTCAAACATTAAAGTGGATCAAATTAGTGTTTACAGGGAACTCTTGCTTAGTAAACTATTGAATCTCCCTGTGAAGGGAAATAAAGATACCTGTCTAGAGACCCTTCCTATACAGTGGTAGAATCTTAACCAAATCTATTAAATAATTCTTTCTAGCTATTCTGATTAGACTTTACATGAATAATGAAGCCTCTAATCGTATTTAATGCAGTGTTTGAAATCCACCAACTGTTCTTCTGAGTGGAGATAAACAATTAAAAACAAGATCTACAGTGGAGTGTGCTGATGGGCACAGCTCAGGAGGCAATTTTGCACAAAACTATGTCACAATTTTAAAAGATGGTGCCTTTTATAAGAGAATGATGTCCTATGTGTGCAAAAGTACCCCAGATCAACCATTTCCAGTTGACTTTCCTGCAGAAAAATATCCAGCTCAAAGACTCCCTGTACTTTGCAATATAGACATTCCTCCCATAGGGATAAAAGTTTCGAAGTCTTAGTTTTTCTAAAGCAAGAAGCCATTGCTTAACTTTACCAGTCAGCTGCCATCCTGAACTAATTCACATCAAATTTAATAAGGGGAATAGCTGTCATAGAGATCTGTGTGCCTAGTCAATATGAGCTAATACAAGGTCTGCTCTTTCCATGTGTTAACCTCTTGGGAGCCTCAGTCTGCAACCAACCTCCCAAACTTTCTGAAGCTTTGCCTTGCACTGAAATTGTGTTTGGCCTTCTTAATGGATATTGATTCTGTGTACTTTACCATAGAACATTGCTGCTAATATGCTGAGAAAAATGATGAGTTCCTATAGCCCTAATAGTTTTTCTGTTGATACGACAGCTCTGTTGATACTATCTGCTTCTGATCAAATGAGTGATTGTCATGTCAAAAAAAAAAAAAAAAAAGGAACTGGATCACATTCTGTTAAGACACAAGGACACAGACCATGATTCACAAAGAGTGTGTGTGTGTGTGTGTGACAGGAAAAAATGAACTAAACTGATTTTGGAAGGAGAAATGATGAGGATGATTTATTGCTAATTATTGCCATTATCTGAAATTAGCCAAAGATGAGAAAATGAATTGTCACTCACACAACATGGAATGGGTCATTACTGTTAGTTGGATTTACTAAATATTTCTTGTGAAGTAAACACCCAAGATTATACTTAAGTTTTTAAATCTGGGAAAAAGCACATATGGGGTTTCAGAAAATTGGTGTCAGAGCCTAGATTAGGTGAGCAGGCTTTGAAAATCCCAGCTGTTGCTATTCCCGTAAACTGAGTGAGTTCACCTCTTTTAGACAGAGATAGGCTGTATCAAGATTGTATGGGCCTGAAAAGTGAAGCAATTAAGAAACACTTTCTTGGTTAATGTATTAACTAAAAATACAGCATTAAGGAAAAGCCAAGTTTAACTATGAAAAGAAGTCCAAAAAATTCAAACCAATAAATTAGAGAAATGTGCATTTACTTTAAAACAGAGCAAAGACTATTCAGTCCTTGAAAGCTGCGCATTTCTTGTGTGCTTTCAAGTTTGTCAGATTCACTAGCAAATTTCAGGAGAGCATGACTCTGTAACTGATTCAGCTGACATGTAAAAAGGAGAAATAAACAGATGAGGATATCTAGTTGCATTAAACCCAGAGTTTGTTGAATACCACATATGTTGCATACCACTTATGTACCAAGGGAGGTATGAATTTGTCCTATCAAATTCACAGGTGACAGAGAAATGACAGATGGCCATGAGAGAGCATTTAACCAGAGATGCTAGGTGCTATCCTGAGTGTTGATGAGAGATGACCTACCAAGATCACCTTTTCCAGAGCGACTGCTTTGCACCAGTGGAACATGCCGCTGCTGTCCAGCTGCTCATTTTCTCTCTCCACATCACTGAGATAAGTCCTAGGCAGAGAGAAGGCCAGAATTCATGTGAGAACATTTGGGGCTCCACATAACAATGCCAGGATGTCAACCTCATCATCAGAGCCTTGGCCCAAGGTAGAATCAAAACAAACAAACAAACAAACAAATAAACAAAACATAAGGAGAGTGATGTCTGGGTTGTGAGACTCCAGAATAAGTTTTCATGAAGGGCAACAGAAGCCGAATGACCAGACCCAGTCATGGTTAAAGAACATCTTAGTACTTTAAGCTAAACCCTCTTTTTAACTTACACAATGTGTACTTTGACAACCATTATGTCTGCTCTTAACATTGCTGCCATGATTCTATGGTGGGAATCATGACTAGTTTGTGGCACTTCCATGTAGAACTGAACAGGCAGTGACAGAATCATCACCGGAGACCTCCCTATCCTTAACCTATTTTCTATTCCCAAGTCTCTTCCAGATCTTTGGCCTTAAGTCCCTATTGAAACCCCCTTACATACCAAATGCATTTTGCCCTCCTGACAGTTTCTGTCACTAGCCTCCTCACTGGAGCTTGGACCTGGCTCCATCCTGACCTAGGTCCTGACAAAAATTGTCCACATGACCATCACACACTGCTGCTAGGCACAATGCTGCTCTGCAATAATTTTAATCAAATCATTAGATGACATCTCAAAAAGCGATACAAATGCTAGGGCATACACATTTGAATTTGGGGGGAAACTGAATTATCCCTCTGGAGTCACAGAAAGTTCAGGGTTAGAGATGTCAGAGGTACATCCGGGGAATTCTAGACTCAGGCGGGAGAAGAGCCTCAGAATCCCAGGATATCTAACATAGCATCATGTGCTCCCAACCCACACTGTATTCAACAACCTTCAAAGAGTCCATGCATATCATGAAAACATCTGTGCATAGATTTCCACATTTCTTTGCTTCAAAATAAGTTATCCTTCCCATATATTTTTAAATTTCCCTTTTATTTTACTCAGTTAAATAGGCATCAACCGCATACAGCTATTCAAATCCTTGTTACATCTATCACCTGGGCCAGAGGAAGGGAAATTACCTTCTCTCCATCAGCAGCCAGGGGATTAGAGAGCCACTGGAGAATCAAGCTCACACTTCTAATCACTACTGGCACAAAGTGACTGGTAGCATTGCAGCATACATCTCATTGGGCAGAACTAGTCATATGGCTTCTGCTAACTTTATGAGGGCTGGGGAGCATGGGAAGCAATAGACAAATCCGGTGAGCATTTATTTCTGCCAGACACTGTCAGTGCTACAAATCAAAGAACTACCAAATTGTAGAGTTGGCAGCTTAATACGATGCTGAGGTTGAGACTAGCCATTTTCACAATAGCCCTTTCAGTTAGTCTCTTGTATATGGACAGTTTGATGGAGCCATTGGACTGATTTGGTTCCATGAAATTCCAATGCTGGCAGAGGTGATGAAGGGCCCCTGCATGATGCTTCAGCCTCTCTCACAGCTCGGGTCATTGTGTGCATGGGTGATTACTTGACCTGCTCTGCACATATAGCATAAACAAGAAACAAACCTGCATGATGTTGAGCTGCCAAGATCTCAGAGATTTCCATAGCACAAATCTACTGTAAAACCCTTCCCCCAAAATACTTTCCAAGGCATATTAGCAACAGAAAAAGTCCTTATGAAATGTTTCTGTTGTCAAATAAAATCAAGGGGACATGGTCCCTCTTGGAAATTCACACTGTGCTTTAGCAAAGGAAAGATTCTAAAAAGTCTCACAATAAAGACAATAAATCACATAATCCAGCATACCAGGAGCTCCTCTGGCCACAAGAGCTTTTACTTATCTGCCTCTATGCTTATTTCTTTCTTTACGTTATTCACATATTTAAAAATATCTGTCATTGTTCCCAAAACATCTTTTGGTGGCATTCTGTGCTATGTCACCAAATCCAGCCCTGGCGGTGGGCAGCTTGTGAGAGCTCTCTCCTGTGACTCTTTGCTTCACCTCCTAGGAGAAGCACAACCTTTTGCTATCCAAGTTTAACGATTAGGGTTTACTCCTTGGAGCTAAAACACCTTGTTACTTAGCACTTCATCTGAAGATATCATGCTTAGAAAGTGGTCAGCAAATTTGTTTTCCCCAGTCACCTTCATTTCTAATTTGCTATCATAAAGTCATAGTTTCAGGCAAAATAAAGTTACTCAAAGTGAGACACAAGTATCAGACATAAGCTTGTGGGACAGGAAGAGGAACAAAGCAGGGAAAAGTTCTTGGAAACACTGAGAAGGTAATTTTCTCCTCAGATCAGCCAAGGTCATGATGCAATCCTTTATCTTCTTCTGCACTTAAGGCCTGCCTATACATTTAGTAGATTTAGTGAGCTCTTGCCCTTTATCTAACTGCAAGATATTGCAATATCTGCCTTGATGTCAGCTTGACTGAAATGTCTTATTCTTCCTGCTTATTGTGCCACACATCCGGTGGTTTAAACAACCATAAATCATGAGCCTATAATCTTTGATGGTGCTGGGAATTTTGTATCTTTCAGGCAACAACTATCTTCTGTCTGGCAACTTTGTACATAGCAAAAATGTGAGGCAGTACATGTCTGTCTTGAAAAACCTGATTGATTGTTGACTTTGACCATTGCTTTTAGTCATATGGGAAAAAAATAGAGAAATCACCAAACTTGTGACTCTAAGGGAAGATTAAGTAGTCACTTTTTCCCACTGTATCCTGCTTCATTTCTTCCCTTCTAACTCTCTTTCTTTCCTCTCTCTTTTTCTCACACACACACACACACACACACACACATCTGTAAAACCTGCACATACACACCACAGTCAAATAGAAGAATCTGAGTCTAATCTAATGTCACTTTTCTGTGTTTGTTGGTTTGACATAATTTTTTTTAACCTGTTAGAGAAAAAGTTTCAAAAAGCAAATGCTGTTAGATTGTTTCTTTTCTCCTAATGAAGCAGCATCTGACAAGCCAAAGAGGATCTTGTGAACTCCAAGAAATAGTCAGGACCAATCATGGAAGGATCTCCAGAGGAAGAGGGTGCAGTCCCTTTTCTAGGTTGGGGAGATCTTTGTGGTCATTTCCTGTGCCATGAGCTGCCATCTGAGCTGCCACTCAGCAGCGTCGCCAGCCATCCCTGCTGAGTTCACCCTATTGGATAAAATGGGAGCACATCTATCATGATATCTCATGGGACATGATGCATGAAGATATTTCACCAAGTTTGAGTTGGGGATAGTTGCAGCATCATGATGTAGCCGGTAGAACTGCCACCTGTGACACTGGCATCCCAATTTTTGTCCTTGCTGCTCCATTTCTGATCCTGCTCCCTTGCAAATGAACCTGAGAAAGCAGCAGAGAATGGGCCAAGTTCTTGGGCCCCTGCCACCCATGCTTCAGCCTGGACCAGCACTGGCTTACTACACTCACCTGGAGAGCTTTTTCTCTCTGGTTGTAGTTGTTCCCTTCAAATAAAAAAATCTTAAAAAAATACCTTGTGGAAAAGGAAAATGAAAACATAAATTTATTTTGATGGCAAACTTTTAGAAATCCACATGTAATTTTTTATATATATAACACACATTTCCTGTGAACTTCTGAAGGATCATTCATATGACCAGGTTTTATTTTTTAAAGTTTTTTATTCCTTTTAAAGGGTCTCTCTCTCTCTCTCATCTCTCTCTCTCTCTCTTATATATATATATATATATATATATATTATATATATATATCCTGGCCCTCTTCCTTCATCCAGAAAGGCGGAGCAGATGGAAAGAGCAAGTACCTTATCAAGAAGGTTGCTTCAACACAGCGTACCCGGGGGTCCTCATCCCCAAGTAGGTAGATGACAACCTTTAAAGGGTATCTCTCTCTCTCTCTCTGTATATATATACATACATACAGAGATACAGAGAGAGAGAGAGAGAGAGAGAGAGAGAGAGAGAGAGAGAGTGAGAGAGAGAGCACCATTCCCTAAATGGCTAAATCACTACCACATCCAGGGCTGGGCCAGCTGGGAGCCAGGAAACAGCAGGCTATTCAGTGTCTCCCACATGTGTACATGGCTTAGGCCATCATCTGCTGCTTTCCCAAGCACTTTATCAGTGAGCTGTGTCAGAACTGGTGCAATCAGGACATGAACTGCTACCACATGGGATGCTGGCATTGCAGGGATGGCTTAATTGGCCAGGTCACAACACTGGCTCCTAAATCTCTAAATTTATTTTGCATGAAAGCAAACATATTTTAATTCCTTACTGTATGATTTGAAGCTAAGTCAGATGTGGCCAATAGCCAGACTGTCATCTGGAAAAACCTGTAGAACATATTTGGAAAGACAAAAATTAAAAAAAAAAAATGTGCTCTTGGCCATTGAAATGTGATCCACTGCTCCACTTTGCTTGTGACTGGGGTTTCCTGGGATATAACACTCGCAAGACTTAAATTGGTCACTTCAATGCTACAAGAGAAATGCTTCTCCTGCCCATTGGAAAAGCTGGCAAGGCAGGAGGAAGAATGCATGTGAGAGAGAGAACACTTGAAACCCTCTGCCCAGATAGCCTTCTGTACTCCCGTGTTTATGAATGATCTTTGGCCATTTTCAGTGGTAGGAGCACAATTACATGGCCCCAAAGCATTGAATGCATGAGTGTAACTGGGCTTCTGGTGAGTTTTATTTTCTACCCTTCCCGGTGGATCCTGGCATGTTCTGATTTTCTGCATACACAAAGTCTTCAATAGACCATGAACCACTGTAAACTATTGACAGCAGAGATCACGTTGAATAGCAAAGGATGGTATGACAGTTCCATTTGCAAACGCTGTCTTAAACTAAAGGTGGATCTAAATTCAGGTTATCATTTGAGTCAATGTAATCTTATCTGAGTTCATGTAGGAAAGTGTAAACTATGTTCTAAGGCAAACCTCATCTGCTATGGAAGCACTTTGTTTGCCTTTAAAGCAGCATTACAGAGGGATTCTATCAAATCCATGTTCGCATTTTCTGTTTATAAAGTCTCCACAAAGACCTATCACTCCTCCGTCCCTCTTCGTTGCTGAAAAGTGTGAGCCAAGATCAGAGTGGTCCAGCACAGGTGAAAGCAGCAACTGGATGGTGTTTCCATTATATAAACCCAAGGCTGAGCTCACAGAGGAACGTGTCTCTGTAAAGCTTTGCTTTGTGTCTGGTAAGTACAAACTGACAGCTTTTGTGCAGAAGAGTTTCTGGGAAAACATGCGTGTGGGTTTCTCGGAGCTGAAATCATTAGAAGATGGAAGATCAAGGAGAAAGATAAAAAAGATAATTTCCCTCTTTCTCACTCATTCCCCACAGGGACCATCATTTAAATCCCTTCATATCTTATGAATCTTGTATTGGGGATTTTCTACAATGTGAGAACAAATGAGACATAACCCAGAACAGTTGACACCATTAATAAAAGCCAGTATCTGTGTCCTGGGCGGGAAAGTTTGGGGCTCAGGGTAAGCTGCATATCTGTTGAGAGCAATTTCCTCTGTCGATCTGTTCAGCATGAAGATGTATTTTGAAGTGCTCTTTCCCACATCTCCCAACACTTTACAAACACCAAATGGCAGTGTAAGCTATATATAAATACCCATGATAAAGTCCAACTTAAAACTCACGCCACCTTAGAGGTTAACAATCATAACAACAAAATAGAACTACTACAATAATATATTAAGATGACTTTTCAAAATCATATGAATTTTTTTCTTTCTGGAATTTTCCACTGAATATTTTTGAGCCCTGATTGACTTCAACTAAAGTGGTAGAAGGCAAAATCACCAAAACATGGTAGCTGCATGTGAGAGGATCAACAGTGTGGCTTTAGTCGTCCTTCCGAGTTGTGTGGGTCAATTCAAGAACAACACATCTTGTTACTGAATTAAGAAGTGAAATTGAATTGATCCTCAATTGCAGAAATGATCTGGCCGGGTTCCTATAATGTGCTTGACCCTTTCTAGGGCTTTTAAAGCGATTTGGGGGATTCTTTAACTAAATGCATGACTGATGGAGGAGGTGTACAGGTGGACCAGACTGCCTGCACCAATCCTACATGAAGCCCATTTCCTCCTTTATCATGAACAACGAGACAAATCACAGTGATATTTTGTGTTTGCAGCTGGGCTAAAGTAAAAAGCCAGTAAAGCAATGCTGAGAATTTCATTTCAGAATTTCCTGGGACTTTTGGTGATCTATGGCTTGCTAAGCTTTTGCTACCAGAGAGGAAACAATGTGGACAAGTACATAAGAAAGCACAAATGTGATTGGAGCATTTTATAGGCTATTGCATATGCTGGCTTCATAGCCTCAAGACCATTTCTGAATCTGAATGATGTTCTTGTGACAACTTTGCATGAACATAAGCATAACGTACAGAGACATACACATGCCCAATGCTAATACTCAGAAGTATGTTTTCCTGAGAAACGTGAAATATTGTTTTTCATGACATTGCCCCTCAGGCTGGCCAGAGAAGGTGCCATGTTGTCCGTGTCACAGTTTACCTAGTTCTTGCTGACCTATTCCTTCTCCAACTTTCTTTTAGAACTATCCCTGTACCTGTTGAAAGAATGCTGCTTCAACTGGCCTCTGTATTTTCTGCTTTTCTGGATTTACCTTGTTTACTGAACTATTGTTGAGGGTTGGCAACACAGTTTCTAATGTCCACAAAAGTACCTCACAATGCCTAATTAGTACACAACAATCACCCCATGAAAACTAATTTTCCAATGATTTTCAAAGGCAAACCAAAATAAAAATAATTTGCACTCCTAATTCTAGTGTATAGCTTTTGGTTGTTAGAAATAGTGAAGAAAAATTAGAGTTCCAGAAATTGGTTAGTGCCTTTTTTCTCATACAGTTCTTCACCCTCTCCCAGAAATAATCACAACTATATCACCATGTTTCATAAAACCCTGGAAAAGGCAGAAATTAAGTACCCCCATGTTACAAAGTTCGTGTACCAAGTGGTGGCTCAGACACTTGATAATCTGCCATGCTTTGTTTGGAAGGTATGGGAGAACCTCCATCAACCAGACATGTAAACCCAGAATCTTCAGTTAAATGGAAGCATGATTCTTCATATTTGAAGGGAGTTAAGCTATATTAAAAGCAAGATCAAGTACCATGGACTGATGTGTATTTACTCAACCCATTTTCATATACTTTCCTGGACATGAGGCTTGATAATTACAACAATAAGAAACATTTAGCCAGTGCTTACTGATAGCAGGATTTTACACACTGTATTTTTTGCACCCTTTTGATAACATCACCCTCTTTCTTCCACCACACAACCTCAGCCAGCCATCATTCTACTCTCCGATCCTGTGAGTGCTCTCAGAATTTTCACACATGAGTGAGATCATGTAATTTGTTTTTCTGTATCTGGATTACCTCAGTGCAGTGTCCTCCAGGTCCATCTGTGTTGTTGCAATGGCAGCATTTCCTTCTTTTAAAAGAATGAATATTAGTCCAGTGTGAGAATGTGAGTGTATATGACTCTGTGTGTGTGCCATTTGCTTAATCACTCATCTTTATCTGACACTGAGGTTGATTATGGGACATAAGAGCACAGTAAAATTTGAGATTCTGATTTCACTACCTTTGCATAAATACCCAGAAATGAGATTGCTACATCATGTGTGTGTTATTTTCAATGTTTTAGAAAGCTTCATACTGTCTTCTATAATGGCTGTACATCAAAATGCCTTAAATACTTAATCTCATTCCGGCATTACATAAAGGCTTCTACAAAGTATGCAATGCATTATATAATGCTAGAGCATCATGGTTATGCTCTACTGGTAATATAATGCTTACTTACACAATCACTATCCTCAATCACTGCAGATCTTCTTAGTTTATTGTATCTGCCAAACTGGAATGTTTTCAATACACACACAGTTTTTTCCCTTAAAGTTCAAAATGACAGAACTTCTGGATTCATTATTTAAAATCAAGTAAACCATTTATCCTCCATCTAAAGACTTGATAGGGGTTTAAATGTATTAAGGAGCTGAGGGAGAAAAAAAAAAGGTGGAAGGGGAGCAACGCATTGGTAGTGTTCTGCAGATGCAAACACTAAGACCATTTCTTCACCAATTCATTTGTAAAAGGGAATGGAAAAGACACATTTAGGAGAAGCTAAACTTAGCCCCAGCAATATTTCTGTAGGACCTAAAAGGTTATATAAGAGAATGGGTGTATAGCATTTGATTGTTATGAGTATAGATAATGTGATCAATGATGAAAGAAGCTATATTTGCTTGGCTTAACAATATGGGGGAAAGTAGATATGAATTCATTGTGCTGAGGAGCAGTCCCATTGGTTAGTATAGGAGCTGATAAAAACAAAACTGTTCTGGTATGTGTTTTATTTGCAAGAGAGTCTAAGGATACCTTAGGGATCAAAGTTCTTTCAGGTTCTTACCTGCTGGCCAGGCTGCTCCAGCTGTCCATGCTTAATGGCCTCACTATTATATGATTCTGTGCTGCTGAAGCTGAGGGATTTTCTTTTATGTTGCTTTTAATTGCTTTTATTGTACCTGCAATATCATTACAAACTCAGTTAGTTGACCTGATGACCCTTCACAAAGGGTGTTAGCCAATAAGTTTGTATTCTGCAGTTATTAAAAAAAATGATAGTTACTAAGAAGAAAAAAATGGAGTAGAAATATTTTGCATACAAAAGAGCAAGTTGGGAGCCATGTTAGGCTAATCTTTTGCCAGTGCACCAGTACCCCATATAGTTCCTGGTTCAAGGCCCAGCTGCTACACTTTCAATCCAGCTCACTGCTTATGGCCTGGGAAAGCTGCAGAGGATGGCTCAGGTTCTTGGGTCCCTGCACCTATGTGGGAGACCCAGGTGAGGTTGCTGGCTCCTAGCTGCAGATAGGCACAGCTATGGCTATTGTAGCTATTTGGGGAGTGAACCAACAGATGAAAGATTGCTCTCTCTCATTTTTTTCTCTCTCATTTTCTCTGTAAAGTTACCTTTTAAATAAATAAGTTAATATTTTTACAAATAAAAGTAAATTGGTAAAATGTCAGAGAATTGTGTGTGGGGGGGAGGGTGGAGCTCTCCAAACTAACCAGCAGTAACCCAAGGAGTATTTAATAAAGTAAAGCAAACAATTTCAGTAATAACAGCATGATAACACCCATGTGGGAGACCTAGGGGAGGTTGCTGGCTCCTAGCTGCAGATAGGCACAGCTATGGCTATTGTAGCTATTTGGGGAGTGAACCAACAGATGAAAGATTGCTCTCTCTCTCTCTCTCTCATTTTCTCTGTAAAGTTACTTTTCAGGACCCGGCGCGGTGGCGCAAGTGGTTAAAGTCCTCGCCTTGCACGCCCGGGATCCCATATGGGCGCTGGTTCTAATCCCAGCAGCTCCACTTCCCTTCCAGCTCCCTGCCTGTGGCCAGGGAAAGCAGTCCAGGAGGGCCCAAAGCTTTGGGACCCTGCACCTGCGTGGGAGACCTGGAAGAGGCTCCTGGCTTCGGATCGGCCTAGCATCAGCCATTGCGCTCACTTGGGGAGTGAATCATTGGACGGAAGATCTTCCTCTCTGTCCCTCCTCTCTGTATATCCGCCTTTCCAATAAAAAAATAATAAAAATAAATCTTTAAAAAAAAGTTACCTTTCAAATAAATAATTTTTTTTACAAATAAAAATAAATTGATAAAATGTCAGAGAATTGGAGGGGGTGGCTCTCCAAACTAGCCAGCAGTAACCCAAGAAGTATTTAATAAAGTAAAGCAAACAATTTCAGTATAACAGCATGATAATTAAAACAGAAAATATGAATGATGGATTAATTTGCACTAGTACCATATCTAGCTCATCAACAAATCAGTAGTTTGAAAAATACTGTATATTCTCAGGACTAGAGAGAACATGTTCATTTGTGTGTAATGCATGCACTTTAGAGCAGAATGTAATTCTCTGCATGACATATATATATATATATATACATATATATATATATATATGACACAGTTTCATAGGCTCTGGGATTCCCCCAAACCCTCCCCGTACCCTCCCCCCATGGTGGATTCCTCCACCTTGTTGCTGAATTACATTTCAGATTCAGTCAAGATTCTTTCATTGCAAGCATGTACCAAGCATAGAGTCCAGCTTCTTATTGTCCAGATAAATTCAACAGTTTCTTGGGGAGACCATCTCTGGTCTGAAGGCAGAGCTGGCAGAATATCATCCCGATCAATTTAAAGCCACAACATAACATCAATGACAATTTACAACATTATGGAATTAATTGACATGGTATTGAGTAACCAATATGCTAAAAAAAAAAAAAAACGCAGTTTCTTAACCACACCCTGTGACTACTTCATTGACATTTCAATTTTAGTTTATATACTACTGACTTTTATATGCCTTAAAATGGCTATAGATTACTATTCAGCTGTCTCATGTATATTTTCACTTTAGTATTTAGCAGTTCATTGTGTTGAAGCATTAATTTTGCTGAACTTGGCAGAATTTAGGATAGTCTAAACTGGGTTATAACTCTTAACAACAGGTGAGGTGCAGAACAATTTTAGGAGGGGTGTGCAGAGAAATCTTTAATACCTTAGTGAGGAGTAACTAATCTTTGTGTCCTACCTGGTAAGGTATGTTTGAGTCCACGCTGACCATTTCCTGTCTGGTTCCAAGCTTTCCTTTTTATTCTCTATCTGACTCTGACTAGTCTAATTTGTGTGTGTGTGTGTGTGTGTGATTGTGTGTGTGTGTGTTTATGGTGGAGCTGTGAAGCAATCCTGATGGTCATTGCAAGAGAGGGTGTGGATCCAAAGTTGGAACTAAGCAAGGACCAGAGAAAACTCCTCCCCCTAGTCCCGAAGGAAGTTTATTATTCTGTTTCTGCAGACCGTTCAGGGTTCCTGGCTGTTGTTCTGATGACCTTGGAGCATTTAAAGGAAGGATTTGGTCTTCTTCCATCCCGTGTGGTAGATCCAAATGGCAGTGGATGACCTCAGAGTTCTCAGCCTCTGAAGGCACTCCAATTCCCCGTAGTCTCTTTGGCAGTTGGGATGTAGTTCTTGGTGCAGGGTTGGGATACAAGCTTCCTCCTGTCCCCCTGCTCCACTCTGGCATCCCCCCCTTGCTCTGTGTATATGACCTCCTCTTACTAGGTTGTCAGGATTGATCTTGATTGCCCCTGTGTGTCTTTGTAGTTTTACTGTTGTCTAATGCTGATTTGAATCTGTTGTCTATAAGTTACCTTTTATGTTCCTGACAGGCTATACTTCACGTCTTCCTCACACATTCTAAGGAGATGGAAGATTTCTCTGCCCTCCCACCCCATTTCCAAGTAGCATAGGGTTTTAAAGATATATTGGGTTTTACAATTTTTTGATGTAGATCATAAGCACTCTGATTCACATTGATTGTGAGTTCATTGGTTGTTTCCATGTCTTCGGTATTGTAGATTGTGCTACTGTAATATATGGTTACTCCTCCTAGGAATATACCCAATCTGCATGTGAGAAGGGGGATCTGGTGACAGATTCTAAGTCAGTTATTTGAAGTGTGCTCACAGATCTAAAGGAAATCATGTTGAGAAAATAAAAGGGAAAACTGAAAGGATTATAAGAGTGTTATCTACCAAAATGGAAACTATGTTATGGAGTGTCTGTTATATGTTATGAAGTGCCTGTTATACATTATGGAGTGTCTGTGAACAGTATGATAATTAAAATAGAAAAGAGTGCAGCAACTCAAGATGAGATTAATCCATGTAAAAGAAAGTGTCAACAAAGTGAAAGGTAAGTGAATGAAAAGTATCCAATCTGAGAGACAAAAGAAAGATTAAATAAGAACAGAATCTAACAGATCTCTTGGATAACTGGGATATTGTCAAATGAACCAACATATCTAATGAAAGCCCCCAAAAAAGGAAAAAGAAAAATGAGTAGAAACAACATTGTAGAAAATAATTATCTGAAGTTTCCTTAAATTAGATGAATACACACTAACCTTACACAGCCAGGAATTGCACTGATCACAAGTGAAATATTGATATCCACCTTCCTGGACATATTGTAATGAAGTTGGTTTAATCTGAAGATACAGAGTCTTGAAAGCAACAAGTGAAGTGACTCACCATGTACACAAGGTTCTCAATATGACATAGAGCTGACCTATTATCAGACACAATGGAAGTGGGAAAGCAGGATGCTGGTGTACGGGGAAGGTGGGTTGGAGCTGATGAAGAATCATTGGCCATGGTGAAGCACAGAGGGCAAATTGCAGGAAAGGTTGGAGGAAGGGGTGATGGTGGAGGGGTGCCTAGATACCTTTAGGCACAGTGGAGTGATGGAGACAGTAGAGCAGTATTGCAGTGACCAGATGACCCAGCAGCAGCTGGCAAGTGACAACCCAAGGTCCACTGGCAGCTGGAGCTCTGGAGACAGCCAATTGTGTGTGTGTGGTTGGGGTAGGGAGCTTCACCAGGGGCTCAGGATATGAAAACAGTTAGGGAATCGCCAAATTTTCTAATTTGTTTGACCCAGCCACAAGCAGAGATGAAGCAGTGGACTCCAATAGGCTGTGCAGGCACAGGGCAAATATTACTGTACAGACCCACAACAGTGCTGTATCTGGCACTGTTTTGTGTAGTGGGGCAAAACTTGTGGGACTGGAGAGACAGCCAAGAACAGGCTTATTTCTAGCTCAGCAGATTACACTGATCACACAAGGAACGCAGTGCCAACTTTGCATCCTGCAGGTTCAACACAAAGTGGGTCCATGTGGCTCCCAGATCTAACAACCAGCAGATCCAGAACTCCACCAGTGCCACATTGGGTGTCATTTTGTGTAGTGGGGCAAAGGCTATGGGACTGGAGGAAGAACAGTGAGCTTTGCATGCACTGAACAAGGAGTGATCAGGCATCATTTTGTGCACAGGACCAAAGGCTGTGGGACTGGAGAGACCATGATGAGCTACACATACACTAGAGTAGGAGCGAGTTCACTTCCAGCTCAGTGTTTTGTAGTGCTTCTCCAGAGGAAACAGCTCCGATGTGGCATTCCACAAGTTCTACCCAAAATAGGTCTGGGTGGCCCCTACAAACCCATTGGTACCATGTCAGGAATCATTTTGTGCAGTGTGACAAAGGCTGTGGGACTATTGGGACAGCAGTTAACAGCAAAAAAAAAAATCATTTCAGACTCAGTGCATTACCCTGATTTTCCACAGAAGATCATACTGACATAATACCTTGCAAATTCCAACCAAGAGAGATGCACATGTCCCTCAGATATAACAGCCAGCAGGTTTGGGCAAGATCAGCACTACAGAAAACCCAGTTATTTACAACAGCAGATGTTCCCCTGATCCTGGGCACTGCTTGAACTGGAAGTGGGGGAAAGACTGTATAGACAATGATGTGGTCACAGCACAGGATTATGCACAGTGCATAGTGGTGATCCACAAACTGGGGCTATGGAGGGAGTCTGTGGTGGAAGCATAGCACAAAAGCCCAGCCCTGAACCTCACTAGAGGGAGTGGCACAAATGAC